CTGGAAAGGCATGAAGGGCCAGTGAAGTCATCTGAGATCTGAGCACAGCCAGTACACATAATTTGGAAAAGATATCAAATTATTCTTTTTTTTTTTCCTTTTTTTTTTTCCCGCCTCTCTTTCTGCTAACCCATCCTGGTTGAATATAATGGATTCTGTTTGTTATAACTGGTGCAAAGCTGGCCTAAAGGCTCATGTGAAGTGCTTCACTGGGGCATACACTAGCTTTAATGTGTATGTGAGAAAGATTACCATTTTTCCCTACCACAGCCACCCTCAGAAAGAGAGTCCACCTGTTGGCTTCTTTCATAGCAAGGGATCAGTACATATTGCTTTACATTTTCAATGCTGGTCATGCAAGTAAAAAGGCAGTTAAAGACTTTGTAAGTTAAAGCTGAAATTCTCCAAAGCCTCCACAGATCATGGGGCTTATAGCTTTCATTGAGTCATAGCTTATAGACTTTAAAGGCCAGAAAAGAGCATTAGATCATAAGTCTAACCTGTACATTGCAATTCATTAAACTTCATTCAGTTATTCCTGTGCTGAGCTCAGTAACTTCTGTTTGCCTAAAGCGTATCTTCTATAAAGGCATACAGCCTTGATCTGAAGACATCAAAAGAGGAAGAAACCACTGCTTCCCTCAGTATTTTGTTCCTGCGGTTAATCAAACTTCTAGTTATAAATGTATGCATTATTCTAATTTGAGCTTTTGTGGTTTCAATTCACAGACATTGGTCCTTGATATGTTTTTTCTTCTAAAACAGCCCTTTAGTTCCCAGTATTTTCTTCTCTTGGAAGTATGCACACAGAGTAATCAAGTCACCTCCCAATCTTCTTTTTGATAAACCAGACAGATGGCATTCTTTCATCTCTCAGTATAAGCTTTTCCAGTCCTTCAATCATATTTGTGGCTCTCTTCTGTACTTTCTCCAATTTGCCATTTTTTTTAAAGTAGACAACAGAATTAAACAGAAAAACCAGTGTCCATTTCACAACACTGTATAAAGAATGCAATTATTCATCCTTGCTATTCCTGTTCACTATTCCCCAGCTTATGTGCACAAGGATTTTCCATTACCCCTTTTTGCCACAGCATCACAACAGGAGCTCACACCGTGCTGTTTATCCTTTATGACTTCTAAATTCTTCTCAGAGTTGTGGCCTTCCAGTTTCCTACCCCAAAAGCTTTCCTTACCATAACTTGCTGTAGCACCACACTAGACTTACCTAAAGAACGATGACACTACAGCTAGTTCACTAACATATATTTTCCCAGATTTCATTACATTTAATGTTGCTATGAAGTCCCAGCTTCTGGAAGCATGTGATTATTTGAGAATTTTCACTGTCTTTTAAAAAAACGAAGTATCTACCCTCTGTGTTTGAAGATATGTCTTGTTGTACCTGAAACATTAGGAAGTCCAGGTCAAACTTTAAAAAATTAAAAAGTTATCACTTAAGAAGGTTTATGCCTTTTAAACTACTATATCATTTTTTTGAGTACCAGGCTGAGCTATCTGAAGAAAAACAATGTAAGAGTGAGCATGATATAAAGAAATCCATACTATGTCTGACTTTATGCAGTGAGCAATAATTTGCATTTCCCTCAGAAATAAAACTCATGCAAATAAGATTTCTAGAGCTCAACAGCTGCAAGGCTTCTACCTTTCTCATGTTGTTTGGTCTTTCAGAAAAGCTTCTGTGGAACTGATGAAGCACTGAAAATACAAGGCAAGGTTTGAAGAGAATAATGAAGAACAATGAGGAAGGTTAAAAGCAAATGAATAAGTAAATAAGGGGATAGCATCAAAATTTACAAAGACTGTAAAACTGGAGATCAAAAAGAATCTGTACTCCGGGTTATTCAATACCAGTAACAGAATACCACAAAGTATAGATATGTATGTTCACATTTGTGATTTTATTTCTATCATAACAGCTCTTATCCAGCTACAACTGCTGAAATAGTAACTGAACTAAAAATGTATATACATATCTGAGAATTAGCTGAAGAACACATCTTGAGCAAGTAAAGTTACATTAGCCAAGCTGTAAATTTGTGTTATAAACATCTGTGTCTGCAGTGCAATATTGATTTTACTCCTGAGTAATACCACAGGTTGGAGAGATCTATAACGTAATAAAGTAATAAAAGGAAAGTTTTTATTTGATCCAGTGACTCGATTCAGATGTGTTTTAAAAGATTAAAAGAGATAAACTAAAACTGAAATTACAAAACAATGCTCTTTAAAAAGTCTGTTTTCCTTTTTCATTGGAAAATAAAGCCACTTTTACTCAACTTGCCTCTGCCCTAAGTTATTTGTAAAATTCCATGTTTATTCTGTGATTTAAATATTCAAATATCTACTAAGATACAGACAGAAGTTGCTTCATTCCTGTCATTTATTAAAAAGGTTTCAGGGGTTCACTGAAGAAAAATAGGAAACCTGCTTTGACTTCTGTAGGCCAGGTAGTTTCAGGTTAGACCTCAAGATATATAGTATAAAATAGAAAAGGGAACAACTGACACAGGGAAGACAAATATAAATAAGTATTTGGTCACTCTGTTCATTTTAAAAAGATTTAGCTATGGATTCTGGATATTTAGTACACCCACTCCATGCGTTTTATGGGGAAGAGACACACAGAAGTAAGATTTTCATAAAATAATCCCTATACAAACCAGAACACAGCATAACTCCTTTATTTATCTTTTCCAAGTTTGAGAATCCAAATAAGATGCTGCTGTTTTGATGTTTTTATCAATTTCCTCTGCTACACAAAATTTTACACAAAATGAAACATATGTAAATGGATTACATTTCGAAGTAAATTTTCCTTTACCTTTGCACTGTTGAGAAACCAGAGCTTGATGCTAATAACAAACAGCGTCTATGTAGAATGAGTTAAAAGAAGCTACAGAGAATGAGGCATATATCTGGGGCTAATTATACCATCAGCAGAATTTCAGACTAGAACAGTTACAAGTAAACTGAAATTAACAGCTTCAATTGTGTGTAAAGTCTTTTCAAACACAACCAGAACAGAATTACACTTCACAGTGATGGGAATTTGTTAAGGAAATAAGGAATTTGACTTTAAGTAGCTAAAATGAGAGAGACCTGATTGTTTCAGAAAATAAATGCTAACAGGCAAGATAAACATCCAGAAACATCCAAATGTAAGCAAGAAACAGGCAGTACCTAGTTCTGAACAAAAAAACAAAAACAGTTCTGGAACTGCAGTACTAATGTGCTGTCTCACTGCTTCTAGTAAACCAGAGTCGTGATGCTAAACAGAGAACAGGAAGACCTGCAGGCTTATTTGCATTTGACACAGAAATTAAATCCAATCAGTTGCCCATGACTTTAAATTTGTACAAAATCTTCAACTAACAAATTAAAAAAAAAAATATTGTAACAAAACCAGAAGACTATTGCCAGTGGCATGACAGTGGGCATAAAAATGTCTTACTACCAGTTCTAGATACCAGCAGAACTGCATTAGAAATCATGGATTTATACCAGAGGTATCCCCTCTGTTTGTCAATAAGGTAGGAAAAACGAAAAAAATGCTGTTTTTTAAAAAAATTTCAACATCAAAAAAAAAAAATCCCTGACAGAGGAATGAGCAAACTGTGAAAGTCAAGTAGCAACTAGAATCAGAGGATTCCAAGAAAAATAAGAGTTTGTTGTTTCAAGACACCAAGGGGTACACAAGACAACTTGTTTGGGGAGGAAGAAGAGAGGAGGCTAAGATAATTCTTCCATTTACACCACTCAGAGCAGTATATATGCTTCCAGGCACATTAAACTTCCCTGCATGCAGAGGGTACATGGTTCTGCACTGATGGAATCACAGCAGTCAGAACTGTGGTGAGATCACCAAGTACAGAAAATGCACAGGCACCAGAACTGTTAAAAAAATGCCAGATCCTACACAGCATTGTAGTGTGAACCCAAAACTCCTCATGCTTTTAGGAGCCGTGCCTTAAGAAGGCCAGTAAAAACTAGCAGGATGTGGCCTCCAACTGATTAAGCAATTATGAAATATATGTGAAAGCGTGTTGCACATGATGGAGCCAGATTATTTCTGATATTTTGAAGTTCAAAGAATTGCCCCCGAGGAAACAAAAGCTACTGAAGAAGATAGTGCAAAGGTGCACATATCTTTGTTAGTTATATAGTAGTTACAACACTGAAGTAACAACTTAATACACAAAGGGTTATGTTAATATTTATGTGTGGTGGCTGAGCACAGCCAGGGTGGACAGTCTGATCCAGGCGTTCACATAATCAATAAGAGTTCTGCTGTCTTCCCTGACACTCCATCCAGCTTAGCATCATGCTGTATGGGTACGCATGGGTGAATCATCTGCAGCACCTGAACAGGATGTGTGGAGAGGCTTGGTGAATCAGTGATCCAGTATCAAGGCAAGAGGACATTCTTTTCCTGAAGAGATCACTTTTTTTTTTTTAATGAGAGTTTCAAAATCTAGCCCATTTGCAAAACCTGGTTTTGCTCTTCCTACAGTGGAGGGTATTAGGTCTGGCTATTTGTCCAAGCTTCAAATTTAACAGTTGTTTTTAAAACATTTAGAAGTTTCCTCCTATTTCCCAATTGCTTAATGTATTATTCTATTTTTTTTCTGCTAAGACCGTGTAGCTGCAGCTGTGCACAGCTAGAGCATTGCAACATTCCTGCAATCTCAGCAGTGATGACAAAATAAGAGATGAAATGGCCACTGGGCAAAAATCTAAAAACCTGTTTAAAACTGCATGGACTCCATGGCCTGAAAAGCATTATTTAATCTAGGACACCTTATTACCCTTTACTACAACAAACCAAAGTCCTGGGTCACAGTTTCAAATTCACGGTCCTCCTCCCTTCACATACATAGCTTCATATCGGATAAATACAAACTTGTCATATCTCAGCCTAGGGTTGCTACTTTTTTTCAGCTTTTCAATGGTAGTTTCATCACAGATCACACAAGTACCTTGTAAGAGGTGAGGATGAAGAGGCTGGTGAGCAGTAAGAACAGCTGTCATCTCATCATGATCAGAAGGATGTATGTACTCATAAATACTATTACCAGTAAGCTCCACCTGTGAAGAGACATGTAAAACATGAAGCAGTGCTGCTGGCTTTTTTTTTCCTATCCCAAACGTGCTCTGAAGTCACCTGCATACACTACATCTGGGTAACTACACACCATTTTTAAAACATAAGTTAAATATATCAAAACTGTGTTCCAAATTATACCCATACACTGAATTAATTCCTTTTTCAGCAGTAACTAATGTTATAGAGCCTTTTGTGGGAATTTCTCGTGATGACCCAGACACAGAAGAGCTGCTATTAGCGAGAGATGGCAAATGACGTAATAAACCAGAGCAGCTGTAGAAATGTTAGATTACCACAAAATGGGATAAAGTCTCTGTGAACTGTATTAATGTCTGTCAAGAAGACAGATATAAAAAAAGAATTAAAATGTTTCTACAGGTTCCCAGAAACTTTCACCTGCATTCAGCTGGCAGCTGAGCCTTCAGAGCCAAACGACTAGACTTACACAATTCCTTTGTGTCTTTTCAAAAGACAATCCACCACACTCAATCCACAGTAGTGTGAAGGGCTCAGCACAGTAGCCAGTGAATTCAAAAGGCAGACTTCCATAGATTTTCATGGGCACTGGACTGAGCCTTCGCTGCTTGAAGTAAACATGCACAGTAAAGACTAGATGTATCTTAAATATATGTGTATTTCCTCTTCTCACTTGAATTTTGCTTGCACAAAAATGTATTCCTGTCTTTCCCACTGTTGTACTCATAATAAACATTGTGCAAAAAAAAAAAAAGAATAGCACGCACTGTATGTCCTTTTTGCTAACTCTATTTGCCACATATAAAACTCACCAACAAAAGTCTCCAGATAGATGGAGTAATTGATTTAAGGAGTGAACCAATACTTTGAGCCTGTGTTTTAAATTAGTGTCAGGCTGCCCAATTGTTGAGTGTGGCCTGATGTGCCTTGGGCCCCCAAGATCAGAGACAGCTGAGAGGTGAAGTAATTTAACCTATTATTCTGAGCCAATCCTACTGATTTGCTAAGATGTGTGAGTTGCCTTTTCTTTAGAATAAATGAAGTTGTCTACCTCACAAAGCAATCTTTTTCTGAAAATGTTTCTCATCATTCCATTTTCTGCATTATTCATGGAATGTCTCTTTCCAAGACTATGCAAACTAACTTTTTTCTAGCCATCTATTCCCCACCACTTCTTTACAACAACCCCTCCCTGCAAAAAAAAACCACCAACACTGAGTTGAAATTCTAACCAGAATAAAGTTTTACTGAATAAGTTAAAAAAAATAGACAAAGAAAGAGAATAAAGGAAAAGAGATATGGAGAGAGAAAAAAAGAAAGATAGAAAGAAAGACATAGAGAAAGAGGTAACGAGAGAGAGAGAGAAAGAGAGGAAGACAAGAAAGGAAGAGAGAGAGGACAAGAGGGAGAGGGGGGGAGAGAGAGAAGAGGGAAGGGAAAGTTATCTGCATTGCTTCATTTATATAATTTTCCTTAAAAGTTCTCCTTAAAAACCACTGGTGGTTCCTTTTCAGGATTCCAACAGGTGGGAACCTGTTATAGTAACACCCCATATTCAAGCTTTAGTGGTGGGGGAGGAAGGACAATATACAATCTCACTCTGAGTCATGTTTCTTAATGCTTCTGTTTGTTTTTAATTACATGGGGAAGGACATATTGTAAATGTCCATAGCTATCTCTGTAAATATCATGATCGCCTACAGACACATAAAACCGACGTAAAAACATTTTAATAATTCTTATGGTGATGGACATTTCATTGGCCTATATGCTTAGTAAATGAGAACATAAAAAAAATTATCATTGCAAAAATGTACAGCTCTGCTCAGTGTTCAAACCAAAAGATGTACCACTGACAACCCTGTTATTATTTTATCTTTGGCTAATAGTGGTTTTGCTGAAGAGTATGTTTTGCCTTTGAAATTAAAACAACTGTATCAGAGAATACAGCTTCCAAAAAAAAAATCATTCCTGAGTGGCTATGTGCAAACAATCTCTCCCTTCAATATAGAGACTTTCTTACAAAAACACCACCAACCAACCTGACTAGCAGCATCAACTCTGGTAATCCGAAAGATCTTCTTGCATCTCTGCTATTACCGAGCATAATCATAACCGCATCAGCATGCCCCTGCTCTCTTACAAAGTATAACTCATGGGTATCTCTTGCTTTTCCAAAAGTCACTGCCTACTTCAAAAGGACTGCTGACAGACATGCATGTTTGTTCACAGGATTCACAGGACAGGACCCGAGGTCACAGTTTCATCCCAACTCTAATTTGTATCCCAGGGCTTATAGCTAAATTTCAAAACTAGAGTGCTTTGTCAACCTAATGGCTAGTTTTTCCCATTACACACATAGGAATATTTTCTACTCTGATGTATGCATTTGCAACCCCAGCAAAATCAGCGGGAGGTGAACATACAACACTGAAACCAAAATTGACTGTAAAAATGCAAGTGGAAACATAAAGCCGTCAGCAAAGAGATGGGGGCTATGTAAGAGTCAAATAACCAAAATATGTATACATAATTTTGAAACTGACCACAGACTCCTGCTACGCATAGTGCATGCATGCTATTTTAAAGCCTACAATGAAACACCGAAAACTTAAAAAAATAAATTATATGGTTCAATTCATAAACCTTCTAAAATCCCATGCCTCAGGCTTATTAAACCAGCTTCCTCGATGCAGCTTTTTAATATCTGTAAATACCTGCTTACTACCAAATATTGCTGTTTCCTACTAAGAGGTTTTTATGTGTAACTCAGCTGCACAATTTTTCCCTGCCAAGAAACGATTCATAATAAACATAGAGGACTAAGTAGATGGATTCTAGAGCAAATAATTACATATTTTTCCTTTCATATACTTATTTGATGTAAGTAAAATAAACTCTTGAAAAAGTTCAGATGTTTGTGGTTAAATATTTCAAGACTTATCAAAAGTCAAAGATAAGCTTGGGTCCCTCATGGACCCAGAAAATGGCTCCAGACTTTCAAAATTTAAAAAAAAAAAGTCTCTTTCACCATTGTTTCCTAAGAGGATTTTCCTCTCCATTCTGCATCTTTGGGCTCTAAGGGTAAAAAAAATATTGCTGGAATTTGAACCTATTTGTTACCCATGGAAAAAAAGAGGCAAGGAATTGGCTTTCTCTGCTAGTACAAGTCAGTTCAACACTGGTCTGAGGCCAACTGAAATTAGATGGTGGAGGGGGTCCTAACCATCAGTATTTACAATATTTACTGTTACAGTTGAGAGCAAAGGCAGATCAAAATCCAAAGCCACAAATTAAGTGATAAGTCCACAAATGGAGATGTAGCCTTTTCAGAAATATTGTTTCTGATTCTCTGATGCTGCAGATGGAAGTGAGTGAAGTAGTGTTGAAAAAAATCCTTAATGTTATTTTCAAATTTTAAACTAGCTTAACTACATCAGCCAGCTAAGGGTTATTCAGAAGCTGTAATTTCTTTCTGCTGAAGTTAAATTCAAGATCAACTAGAAGATAAAGGCTACTGTAGTAGGTCTCCAAGAATATCCTGCAAAATATTTTTAAATGGACTTTTTATTTAGTTTAAATATATATTTTTAAACAAATTGCACTTTAACTGGAAATTGATGTGTGGACTAGTTAATTGACAAATTATTTAATAAAAAGGCCTTTCTATGCATGCTCTAAAGGATTTTCTACAATCATCATCACTCTGGTCTCAGCTTGTATTGGCTGGAGCTCTATAAGAGCACTTGTTGAAAATATAGTGTGGGATTATGACCTGGTGAGGGAGATGTAGAATTTGCTTTCACAGACCAATCTCATTCTTGTTGATGTCAGTGGCAAAACTCCCAGTGATTTCCAGAAAAGCAGGAACAAGAACTCATTTAGAGCACTGGGAAGCTTACAGGAATATCCTGGTGTTAATGTATTAATATCCTAGTACATAGGAGTAGCCTAGTATTAACACTAGTACTACTTAAAGCAAAATTGTCCCTTCAAAAAAAGAATGTTGAGAAATAGCAAGAATACATTAGATGATAAAACACTATGAGGAAAGAGGAGGAAAAATCACAGCCTTGTTTAGCTGGGGTTTTGTATTTATAAATAAAAAACTGTGCACTGTGCAGCTGCTGGAGCACTTTGTGTTTTGAGAGGCTAAAACATGCCCTTAAATTTCCATGTCCTCTCTGATTTATAGCTTTCTGGGGAGTTCAAGGATACAGACCATTCATTTACCAATCTCTGCTCAAGTGAAATATTTGTGATTTTGCTTATTAAGCTGATTTCAATAAGCAGTATGACCAAATCCTCTAGTTTTCCTCGGCACTTCTTGCACTAAGGGTTTATAGATATTTACATGTGCAATGTACATGGAATTCAGTCTGTGCAGTGGGCCATGAAGGCATGAGGGCTAAATGTGACTGCAACCTGTAAAATGCTTTCCATCCCCTCTCCCTGAATATGGCCTGTAAGTCTATTTAGTGCCCTACTGATCCCGTAGTTCTTTAATTTCACCAGATGACTGGATAATACTGAGACCTACAAGATCTGATGATTTGATATTCCTCAAAAAGAAAGAAAAGAAAGAAACCAAACCTGGAAGATCAGTTAGCACTTATCAAACAGCAAGCAGCATGGGACAATGAGACCCTACTTCAGCAAGGACAGATGGGAACGCTCAGTGCTTTGGAATAGTTGTATGGACTAAATGAATCTATTTAAGGAGTCAGCAGTGGTGGTGGATCTTTTCAAAAGTTAGGGTGAGAAAAACTTTTAATAATGCTATTGATTCAGAGTAGAAAATACGGCCATTCTCTAGGAAAGTTAATTCTAAAACAAAGCAATATTTAAAGTAATTCAAACATGCATTAAATGTTATGAAACAACTAATACTATATTGTAACAGACTCAACTGAACTAACTGCTTGAACTAAGACTGTTCCCTGGACACATTTTTAAAAGTTGGCAGAAAAAAATTGTCCCCACAGAATATTGATTCTCAAAATTAATTTTTCTAACAGAGATTACAAAAACAGAGATTGTAGTCGCCTTTGGATTTAGGAGTGATGTTTATGAGATTATATACTTGCTTTTTCTAGCTGTTTAGAGTTCTATTTTTCCTCACAGCTACTGATTCTAATATCACTATCATGAACACACAACCAAAGATCTTCACAGTTTTTCAATCAAAAATATTAGTTACTACGAAAGTTGAAGTACACATACGATGTCCTCAAGTCAGCCCCTTCTCTGTTTATTGGAAAAGCCACAGGGCATATTCCCCATACGTTTTCAGAATATCCAGTGCTCTGTCACCTTCATCTCCTCATTTTTCTTCCCTCTGCTATTAAGTCTTTATTTCACTTTAACCCTAAGAAGTGTTTGAGCTGCAGTTTGTTCTGAACAAACAGTTCTGTTTCTTGCAAGTCTCATCCAGGGCCCAGTGAAATTAATCAGGAGTTTTTCTACTGGACTTCAGCAGGCTTTAGGTCAGGTGCTACCAATGAATTTGTGTAATACATTTACACACAAAGGTATGGAAGCTTGCACTCTGTAATAAATTCAGGCTATTTGCCCTTGCGCCTATCCCAAGAAGGCCAAAAATTAGAAATGTCCTTCTAAGAAAAAAAAACAATAAAAAACCCCTTATACTTCTTGTGCAGAACAGTAGTAAACTGAGTTTTATGAGTTCTATCACAACCATATAAAACGCTTTACTGAAAAGACCACTGAGCTGGAAAAACTCAGGAAAAACTACCCTGAATTCCATGTGAACACTCATAAATCTGCCCCCCTTTTCTTTTTTTCCTAAAGCACATTTACCATAAAACTCATGTTCCACATCAGATTTCCTCTCTATTTCATAGCAAGTCTCAGTATCTTACACAATCTAAAACATATAGACTTGAATTCTAAACTTTATTTCAGATGTATAGCGTTACCACACAGGCAATAGGTTTGGGTTTCAAGCTCTCTATATATCTGCAATTTGCAATATTATATTATTTATTACCCTTCTTAAAGGTAACGAGGAGTAAAATACAATGAACAAGAAAAGATATAAAGACAGTCATGATGTGGTTGTAAGTAAAGGAAACTTGAATATTTAGGTAAGGCATTTGTCAGAGAAGCTTCAGATACCCCTAAAAAACAATGACATTATACACACAGCAAGATACTCGTGCTGGATTCCAAATACAGTATCCATATTTAACAGATGGACAGAATAAACCATTCATACCTGAGATAAGCCAAGATGTACAGATGCTGTTTCTGAGATGTACATTATTTTGCCATCTGATGCTACCACAAAAACAAAGCCATCCAGAGTCTGAAAAAGAGAAATATGTAGGGTAAAAAGCAAGCACTCTGTTTAAACCATTTACAGTGAAAAAATTTCTGAAGTCTTTTGGAGGAAGATTGCTATCCAGCTTCAACAGCAGCAAAGAGCAGCAAAATTTAAGGAACAGAAACCTTTAGCCGATGCTGCTCCTACAAACTCTGTGACACACGCACACATTGTGAAATCCAATTCATTCCCCCTACAGATGCTAGCTTTACTGCTTCACTTTAAGTTAACATTCTCCTGTTGATTCTGGTTATTTTAGTACTTAGTACAAATCCTGAGCTATGTGGTACTTAGGGGAAAGTCTAGTACTACGCAAGCCATTTTTTATGGTATAATTGGCAGACACAGCTTACCGCTATTTGCAATATATTTAACGATACCGTAAGCAATGTTTTAAATTTCTTTGACTGTATTTTTAATAATGTCTTTCTGAACAGAGAGCTCTCTGCTATGTAGCTATGCAAACTTAGGAAAACAAAGTAAAATAAATCAGCATTCAAAACTTTATCACACTTGAAGAGGCATATTTATGCTCATTAAGCTATATCCCTACAGTTTGTGAATCTCAACTACTGGTAATATGTAATGCAAACCTGAGGTCCACTCCTACAAATTCTTACAGACGGGCTATTAACTGGAAGGTAAATATTACTTGAGTGAGAAAAAAAATCCTAAAATTTAACTTAGTCTTATATCATTCATATGAGAAAAAAGAATGTTATGTAAATGGTACAGGTTAACCAAAAGTGGCCATGATTTGGATATACAAACAATCAGTTTGGTGGTACCTTGATTCTTCAGTGCCAAATTTGAAGCATTTTTTTCAAACTTATCTGATATTCTCAGTCAAAAAGTATCCATTATCTCTAACGAGTTTAGGAAGCCTTGATCAGCACATACATATGAACATCATTGGAAAATACAAGTGGAATAGGAAAAAAAAGTGTTTACAGTACACAGATAAAACAAATGCCTATTTTAATTCGTCTTTTAAGTTACTGAACCAGGAGAGAAGCAATAAAATTCTGTATGCTTCATGTTCTTACAGTGCTGCCCCAATAAGAAAATATTCCAAATTATTCTCTGGCCTACTAACGATTCTACAGCATGTAATTGAAACCAGATTACTCTTTGCTTTTACCTTTTTTTCTTTTTGGAACATAAATTGAATTTTGTAGAAGTATTAAAATGGGAAATAAATTATTGCATCCTTAGCCATAACTCTGCTTTTAAACACTGTCATCTTGCAGTTGCTCTGCCCAGTATCGTAACTAAAACCGTGTCAATGCTTCCATTACGGCATTATATGGTGCAGTAGGTCTCTTAACTTTCCTATACAGAAAAGCATATTGAAGCTGAAACTTCACATGTAAGGTTTCAGTCTGAGAACCCTTTAAAAAGTTTACAGAAAATGTGGTTTTATTAAAATGTTCAGCATTCATAATGCAGAAATGACTGAACTGTAAAATTAGTATTACAGGTAATTATCATATAATATTACTTAAGTTCATTTAATGCCGGACAAAATGTGAAATAACTAACAGGGAGGAGGAGCAAGTCTAACAAAAATTATTTTTATGATCTAACTAGATATGTACTTTCAAGGTAGACCGGTGGTTCTGAAACGGCTGGTGAGACATCAGCTACTCAAAACAGAATTTTCAAGGCTGCAAATACCACCACGTGAGCTAAGTTTGAACTTTTATCGATTTCCATTTACTACATGCGGTCAAAATCACTCGACCGAAAGCGTGCCCTCGTTTTACTTCGGCAGAACGGGTGATACTTTGCACGGCTGCAGTCTCAAATAAGTGACCAAGTGCGCGGCGTTCCAAACGCCGGACCACCTCGCACGGCTTTCCCAGCCAGCCCGCCCTGCCCG